TAAGTCCTGGTCTTAAGACCAAAAACATTTTATTCCAGGTACAAGCTTTTGTGGGCAAGCCCACTTCTTCAGAGAGAAAGGAGGGGAGGGAAGGGGAAAGGAAGGAGTCAGAGAGAGCACATGCAAGGGGGGGGGAGTCCAATGTCACTTGGAGAGATCTCCCTTTCCATTTCTAACAGATGGGGGGTGGAGAAACCTCAGCACAGCTTACATTCCTTATTAGTGAAAGGGAGCAAGAGTACAGCGGCACCTTAATGACTAACAAAATTTGTGGCAGGGCATGGGCTTTCATGAATCACTGCTCACTTCTTTAGATACAGCTGGAACGTAAGTCTATCTGTCCTTATATCTTGGAGAGTGAAGTGATTTCAGATGCCAAAAGAAAATAGCAGGCATAGGTAATGAGAGAAGAAATCTAAGGCTCAGTTCAGTCCACGAGTTTGCATTGTCTTGAGCTTCATGATCAGTTGCAATTCAGCAGTCTCTCTTTCTAATCTCCCTTTGAAATTTCTTTGTAAGAGAACTGCTACTCTTAGGTCAGCAGCTGAACACCCTAGAAGATTAAAATGTTCCCCCACTGGTTTTTGAATGTTGTGGTTTCTAATAGCAGTAGAAAGAGTCCATTAGCACCTTTAAAGACTAACAAAATTGTGGTCAGGTATGTGCTTTTGTGAGTCACTGCTCACTTCTTCAGACTTATTTTCATTTATTCTTTGCATCCTCCTGGACTGAGTTATCCTGTACCACACTGAGACCTAGGTTTCCTGTCTCATTACCAATGCTGATATCACACCTAATCCAATCACGCCTGCTATTGCCATTCGGCATCTGAAATCGTCTTTATAGAGCTTATATCTCCAGTACCTTGTGTTACATTTTATGGCACACATGGCCCAGCCTGACAAAGTAACAAATGAGTTCGACACCTCTTCTCTGTGGGGTTGCCATACGTTTGCTGTGACTTTATGGGAATCTCCATCACCATCAGTGGTTAGAGTGTCAGAAACCTACTCAAAACACTATTTGTGAGAATAAAATGGATGGAAGGAGAAACTGTGTATGCCACCCTAAGTACATAGAAGAAAGGGGAGGATAAAACTGGAGAAAATAAATACTACCACAGTATTTCTTAGAACAGTGATTCTCAAACTTTAGCAACCCAGGGACCACTGTTCTGTTTTTCATTTTTTTATCCATGTACACACCAGAGTCTTGTTCTTCTAGAGCACTCAGAATAATACAGTGACAACAATCACATTAGCTACGTTTAAACTTGCTTTTAAAGTAAAAAAAAATTATATTGTTTTTATGGGGCCTGACAGTTGGGTCTCATCTCAAACTGGCTCCAGAGGACCATAACTCAGAAGTCGCTGGTTCAATTCTAATCAGTGTCACCACTTGAATGGAGGGAACTTTACACCACAGGCAGAAAGAAACTCGTTAATAACTTAGACAGAGACCAGATGAACAGCGGTGGGAAGGGGCCTTGAAAAACGTTTAGAGCTGCTCACAAAAGTAGAAAAAGACCAGCATCACACAAAACTGAACATTCAATGACCACTACTATCTATGGATACAGACTGGTGTCTGAGCCTTTACACCAGAAAACAGGAAAACCAGTTCCACTTTACACCCGCAATAGTTATGAAACTAAATTAGGACCACTCAGACAGTTAGAGTTCCTAAGAACGAACTATAAGATCCCAGGAACTAATCAGCAGTTTTTCTGCAGAGTTCTGAGGTGACCACGAAGTTAGCTAACTCTGAGAAGTAGCAGCTCTGTATGTTCCTGATCTTCAAAATAGGGAGAAGCCAACCCTAAGTGCCCCCTTCCTTGAAACTGAGAATCCCCATTATTAGAAAACTGAGAGGATCCAATTTTCACATCAGGTATATGAAAGTCTCAAGCTTTGCCCTCAGAAAAAACTTGCACATCTCGTTGAGTACCACCACCAATGGACCCTAGTTTGAGAGGTGCTGCCACAGCAGAATTCAAGGGCTAAATTTTTAATAAGTATCTTCTGAAATATACTTTATTTTATAATATTTTGAAGAGCAGACTGGAGTCTTTAAAATCACTAGGTAAAGTTCTCAAGTATTTTATTTCTCTGAACTTCTGTGAAGGTTCCAGCCATGTTTTATCATGTTTTTCCTCCCACCTTCTAGCCTCTGACTCTACAAGCCAAATTTTGTTCACACTGAATGCAACAGAAGTTACTGAACATTATGCAATTCAGAACCAACTTAAAAGTGTTAGCATGCAATAAGCTATATAAAGCTCAAGGTTTCCATTCTTTCAATGAGCCTTCAAGACAATTAATTTCAAGTTAAAAGCCCTCATCACCCTATGTCATTATGGAACCTCTCTAAACAACGAAAGCAATGTCTGGACTTTGTCAAGTGCAAAATGACCAAAAAGTAGATGATTCCACTTTACAATAGGTTAAGGTACTGGACACATAGAATTATGAGTGAAAGGAGTGGGATAAAAGTCAAATAAACAAACAAACAAAGTGTGAAGCCAGAACAATATGGTGCTATAAGGAAACATTCTGTGGAAGCGAATCACCATCAGTAAAATTAAGGGCTTTCCCAAAGATCCCAAGAACAAAGGTCAATGCAAAAAAATGGGGCACTTTTCTGGGGCAAGAGGACAGTGAGGAAAGAATAGGAATATTTGAAATTGACTTTGCACTGACTAGGATGAAGGTGGAGTTGTCATGGATTATGGTTGTACTTCCCTTGGCCTAACATTTTCTCTCTCCTTATTAAAAAAAGGCAACATTTGAAGTATAAACAAGACATTTATTTATACCTGATTGTGCTTCACTAAATGGAGCCCAAAAAGGCCCTGGTCCAGCAAGAGGTCGCTCATTATTCCCTCCACTAGGATGGCGGCTGTGCTTCCTCCATGAATGCGGAGATGTTGGTGGGGATTGCTGTGGTGAAACAACTGGAGATGTGGACTCCTAACAAGACAAATGAACTTTTTAAAAGAAACCATACACTATTTACTGAAACAAATATTCTATGAAGCTATTGTGCTTAGAACAACATAAATAGTTTTTGTGAACATGTATAATTCTGCTTACATGAAGGAATTGCAATAACAAGCAAATATCAGAGTTTTTCATCCATTTGGATTAAATCAAGAGGTACAGCATGATTATGCACTTTCTGCCAGAGGAGTTATTCTGCACATTTTCACTTGTGGAACATACAAGCTTATCAGAACCCATCTCTCAAAATGCGGACATTCTTTTGAATAAATAAAAATTCCACATACCCTTGTTTTACCAAGGCCAAAACATTTGAAAACATACATTAATAACACATAATACTGCAAAATTTGACAGTTCCTGGCTTACAACATAAACCATACCCTTATATGGTCTATGTTAATAGAAAAAAGATACATATTAATGGTAAATTAACAGTGTAATTCTATGCAGATTTATTCAAGATTAAACTCATTATTTCAACGATCTTAGACTGCAGTAGCTACATAGGATTGCACTACAAATTACTTAATTGTAAATTAATATCATGCTTAAAGAAAATACTTAGAAGCAAAAAAACTAAATATAACTCCAGCAGAATCAGTCATCATCATTTAAATGCTCATGAAGAATCTGTCATCATCTATATGGATCTATTTTATTTAGGACATTTTTATGCCACCTCTCCAGAAACCTGCCCAAAGAGGCTTACAAAATAGAAACCTAAAAACATTAAAAGATATTAACAACTTTCGAGCCTGAATTTTCCCTAGAAGCTAAAAATGCTCACTATTATCAGATTACTCAGAGAATATTTACTATCTGCACTGCAGGTATTCTATGTGTTATATAGTGAGAGAATTTTATTTTTGTTGCTCTTGGGCCTAAGAGAAAATGTACTGGAATTAATAGTTTTGCTTTCTTCAACTTTTAGAAATTAAGCATCTTTATATTATATCTTGGCTGGTTACTGTGTGAGCAGGAGCACCTTGGAACTCATAGTAAAGTGGTTTGGCAGCTTTGCCAGGTTTTGAAGAGGCTGCTCGGGCTTCCAGGGGCTGGGATTGGGAACAACATTTCTGTAAAACGACTTCAATACGACATGGTGGCAGTTTAAGGGGATTGAGGTCACTTCCTCACAAGTAAGCCTACTGGTGGTACATTCTTTGAGGTCTGGTACAATGGCTTGTTGTTTCAGGTAGTGAGCGACGGACAGACAGGGCAAGAGAGCAGAAGGAGAGCTTTCTAGTACCTCAACAGCAACTGGCCATGAGATTAACATGGAGGTAGGCCAAGATTCAGACATACAGTCCAGGGTGCAAAAAGGGACTGGTGTGTTAATGATGAAAGTCACCTTGCAGAGTCCAAGTCAAATTTATGCTGAGGTCTTTAAATTGTTGGAAACAATGCGAAATCAAAGGTGATTTTCTTCACTCCTGGTGGTCTTGCCCCAAAGTTAATGAATTCTGGGTTCATATTGTTGACGAAATAAAAAAAAGGTCATTGGTGAGACACTCCCCTTACTCTTTGAAACTGTACTCTTAGGCTGGTGGTCTGGGATGCTTAGTGTCATGCCTGCCCTTGCTGATGCCCCTGAGGAGGCACCTGCCAGCCAGGAGCCTGTGGACTTACAGGCTCCTGAGGACAGTACTGCAGCAGAAAGGCAAAGACTGGATCCTGTAGCTGAAAGCTATTTAAGTGGTGAGGAGGATAGAGCCTCCCAGGGAACACCTGCAAGGGACCAGTCTCTGCTGCATACCAGTAATTCGTCATCAGACTCACCACCACCTGTAACCAGGCTCCGGAATGTACGGAGACAGCAGCTGAGAGAGCGAAGACAGAATGCACGCATGCGTGCCAGAAGATCTCTTAGCCCTGAATATTTTTGTAATAAATTTCTTTATTGAGTTTCACCTTTAATAAACATACAAACATAAATCACCATTCTCTTATAAGTCAATACCTCACCCTATTAACATTTGGTTACATACAGTCAATGTCTAGATTTTCTTTAATCTTATATTGCCCAACTGTAGTTCCACCTTATATTCCTCGCATTCCTTTTTAAATATCTCTGGTCTTAATAAATCATAATTACCCTATTTACTTTCCTATCTGTATATCTGTATTTTAGATTTTAAATTCATCTTCATTACATACATTTTACTTTTCAAAACATCCATTCAACTGAACTTCAGTTTAATTTCATCCTCAAATCATCTGTTCACCTCTTGTTTTCAACATCATATTTGTCTCTATTCCTGGAGCTCTTCAAAATAATAATAATAATAATAATAATAATAATAATAATAATAATAATAATAATAATAATAATAATAATAATAATAATAATAATAATAATAATAATAATAATAATAATAATAATAATAATAAT